AAGCAAAGACCTGTGCAGGACATAAACAAACACCTTCGACCCATCTCCCTGACTCCAATCTTGTCAAAGATAGCGGAGGAGTACGTTGTCGACACTTATGTTAAGCCCGCTGTCCTCTCAAAGATCGACCCACAGCAATTTGGTACGGTGCCTAAATCCAGCGCCACGCATGCATTAATTAGTATGATTCACTCTTGGGCGAAGTCAACGGATGGAAATGGATCGACTACGAGAGTTGTACTCTTTGACTTCCGGAAGGCATTTGATCTGATTGACCATCATGTTCTGGCGCGGAAGCTTTCCTCCTACGATATTCCAAGGCCGATTTTGTGCTGGATCATGGACTTTTTAACGAACCGTAAGCAAAGGATAAAACTGAGCCGCGATTGCTTCTCGGAGTGGGAAGCTGTTCCTGCAGGGGTGCCACAGGGGACGAAATTGGGCCCCTGGCTGTTCCTTATCATGATAAATAATCTTTCTGTAGCAGACACAATTATTTGGAAATACGTTGATGACACCACTCTTGTCGAATCAGTATTGAAGAATGAGTCTAGCTACATGCAATTACGTGTAAATGAACTTGTAAGACAGTCAGAAGTTGATGGTTTCCAATTCAATGAGTCTAAATGTAAAGAACTGAGAATATCATTCTCCAGATCAGGTAGTCTGTTTGATCATATTACTATCAATGACAAGCAAATCGAAGTTGTTTCATCCGCAAGGTTGTTAGGAGTGATAGTCTCGGACAACCTCAGGTGGAACGCACATGTAGAATCTATATGCAAAAAGGCTGCGAAGCGTCTGTACTTCCTAAAACAGCTAAAGCGCGCTAAAGTTCCATCTGAGGATATGCTACTTTTCTATACAACATGTATACGCCCTGTATTAGAATATGCGTGCCCAGTTTTTCATCATTCTTTGCCGCAATATCTGTCCAATGAAATGGAAAGGTTGCAAAAACGCGCGTTGCGGATGATTCAACCTGACTTATCCTACGCTGAGGTTCTAGTAGCTCCTGACATTGCGTCACTGTACGAGAGGAGGGAGATCTTGTGTGATGCTCTATTTGATCAGATTGTAAGAGACGAAAACCACAAGCTCCATGATCTACTGCCTCCACGCAACAAGTCCACCTATCGCACCCGCAGCCAGAGATACTTCAAGCTACCGATTTGTAAGACAAATAGGTTCAAAAACACATTTATCATGGCGAACAGTTTTAATTATTAGTAGCTATCTTAATAATTTGTATTTTGGTTTTTGATACTTCTCTTATTGTATTTTATTGTAGATTACACTTTGCGGCTTTTATTGTATAGTTATCTTAGAGTAAGAGATAAGTTATTCCCATTGTAAAGTAAGTCGTATTTCAGCCGGCCCGGGAGCTGCAATGATTTTACTTCCTAATAAAACTATCTATCTATCTGTCTTTCCTTTTTCAAGTTCAGGTGGCGAAACCACAGGGTTATGCACCACAAAATAAGAGGTCAGACTGCGTGAACTAAGCCATCCACCGAAGTACTTTCCCGACGCGATTATTATCGTCTATGACTATCGAGGTAAATTTCGCACATGAAGAAGTAGGTGGGCTCGTCGAGCGCCTGGCGAGATGAAAGTGTATAATTATTACGTAGCTCCGTACGTATGACAGGCACAAATTTCCTGAAAGAAGAGAAGACTTATATAGGAAGGAATCAACGGTCGGCAATTTGGAAACTACAGTACTCACAAATACACTCTTGGGATGAACGAGACCCAACTGCACAAAAGCTGTTTGTTTTCTTAGTTAATTGTGATTGGTGGACAGAACTTCAGTGACGGGGAACTGTTGGTATATAAAAAAAGTAAAAAAAAAATGTCAAACTAGATAACCGACGTATCAGCGTTAAATTTCATTAACAAATATGCTAATTAGAGTTTGGAGAAGGAAATTTTTCTGACTCTAGTTTCTGTCTTAATCTGCACGAATCATTTAAAAAAACGTGCGCAGAAGGGTTTATTTTTAGAACTGAGGCTGTTTTGCTACATGGAAGGATAAAAAATGGAAATGTATACCAACGGCGACGTCATAGAGGTCATTTGTTGGGTTTGTATCACTGGTTATTACGCATGCTCCCAATAAAGATAGTACGTGGGACAGTGTATGGCTTGTTGAATTTGTTTAAGCGATCCATTGTGGATTGTACGATGCACATGCACAATATTCGGAAATTGCTTTGTTTGGTAATAAAAGAGGAAACACAATTATTTATGAAAGTCTTTTCCTACCACAGGTGGAAGGGATTTTGTGCGACGTTCTTCCACGTGGTATCGTGAGTAAGCTGGCGGTAAGGAAAAACAAACAATCACAACACCAAAGATCCATTTTGCTTTAAGCTTATCAACCCTCACCACATCGCTGCTGTAAAGTCTTACTTGGTCTTTGATTGGGATTTTACTTATAAAACACTGAGGATTTACGTAGAAGCTTTATCTAAGTGAACATACACTTTTCTTAAGCAGAAACCACCCAAAGCCCTGTGCTATTATCTTATGATTAATGAAATGAGAAGTAGGCATAAACATGGTCCAAGAGGAGATTGAGAACGTGGAAAGGAGCAAAGAGACACTACTGCAGGGGATGGGGGAAGCCTGGAGACAGAAAGGTAACAGCCTGAAGATGGAGAGGAAGGGTATTGGCGACATAGAAGGAGCAGTCTAGACACATAGAAGGTGCATCCTGGAGACAGAAGGAGAAGCCTGGAGACAGAGAGGAGGCAGCACTATCCTTCACTAAGAAGAAAAGGGAACAATGATGATGACGATACGAGGAAGCATGGAATTTTGGTTCATATCTCTAGCCAGTCCACCCACCTAATTTGTTCATGTTCCTTGGCATCCGTTTTAATCTGGAAGCGGAGTAATTGGTTTTCCTGTGACGTTCGTCTGTTAAATGCGCCAATTTTTCTGCTGCGGTTACATCTTCGCTGTATCGATAGTGCTTTTTTCCGCACAACTTTGGTTTAGATATTTCAAGTCTCAGAAGAACCTGGTATACTCCCTACAAAAAAAAACAAAGAGTAATGTTAACTACCTAACCTCCACTTCCAGAAGCAAGGGAACGTTTTGCAACCAAGAGGGGGGAGGGCTGGTGGGATAGGGCTCATCGTACACCATGCCAAATGTACATTCCTACATAAATTTACCAAAATGTCGCTCAATTAGTTCTTTGGCGCATAGGAAATTCTCTGCAACTTTAGAAGTGTCCATCATATCCTTCCCCCCACCCCCACCCCCAGTTCGGCACATCTCAGGATATGTGGGGCTTCGTCGCATAAGCTTCAGGTCTTTGTGAGAGGATATCGATGCCGGTAGCAATCGACCATCAACCGGTAAATAGGAAAACATCTACCATCAAGAGTGAAAAAACTCTAAGCGGTATATATAAGCCGAAGACATGGATGGGGCAAAATGTCCTAGATGTCTTCTATCAGTGACGTATAATCATGGTTGTAAATTTACGGTTAGTTATGGTATAGGTGGTTCACTTGATCTGTCTGTCTCGACAGGAGGAAAAGGATCCCGGCCGTGTAAAATTTTGTAAATGAAAGTCATGATACGATACCTCTCTTGATGACTCACCGAGACAATGACGTACAACCAGTCGGATTTGTTACTGTCCTTTACAATCACTGTTCCTCTTCTTTTAGGAAACAAAAAACGTGAGTAAGTTGATAATAAAGGAAAAATACACGACGCACACACGAAAGAACAAAAGTAACGGGGAAGAATGGGATCAAAAATTGTATTAGTGCAAAAGAAGTTGATAAAAATGGATCAACTAAAGCTTAAATGCGGCATAAAGAAATGAAAAGATAGTCAAGCTATGTAGCAATTACTGAAACGGTCAGTTTTATCGATCTGGTTTGTAAGGTGGAAAGTTAGAGTTGAGCCCTGTTATATTGTAGTGAAGGGCAACATCACAAACTATTAGACTAGTAACACTGTTCTTTGGCCATCACATGGTACCCACTGCAGAGTTCAAGCAAAGTTCCAACAAGAAAACAGTTAACACTTCAATTTAATGACAGTTTCTGGTCCTTTTATAATATGCTTCATTTAGCACTAGATAGGACAACATTTTGGATCATAGAAACCTCTGTTTAAGTATGTTAACTAAAAGATGAACTTTAGCTTAAGGCAGTTTATACTTACATGTTGTCCTCAACTTTTACATGGTCCGACCATGTTGAGTATATTTCATGTAAGGTTAATAAGAACCTTGGTCTTTTATGTAGGATTAAGTATTATTTACCTTATAATGCCCGGTTACTTTTTTATAATAGCTTAGTGCTGCCTATTTTTGATTATGCTGATTTAGTCTAGGGTGACAAGGACAATGTCACACTAATGAAGGAATTGCAAATTCTGCAAAACAAAGCAGCTAAGTTGATATTAGATAGATCACTTCACTCCTCATCCACTGATGCATTAACAGTCTTGAGATGGCTAAATCTTGATGAGTTGATATTAGATAGATCACTTCACTCCTCATCCACTGATGCATTAACAGTCTTGAGATGGCTAAATCTTGA